AAGGCTAGTGGAAGTTTGTGAGGACATTACTAGAGGTCCGGAGGGTGTGTAGGAGTAACTACCTCGGACTGTACGGGGCGAGGTGTTACAGGTGGTATCAGAGCAACTCTGCGACAGTGTGCTGACCCGTTGGATATCGAGCGGGCACTTAGCAGGGGAGGATTATGGGATTTGATTGAGATTTGAGATTGGTTTATGGGCGCAACGAGGATGTTGCGTTCCTAAGTGAGGGTGATTGTAGTACTTGAGATTTAGTTTAAACGGATTAATAGTACTACTCATACCAACAAGGTGCATCTCCTTTTAAGGGAGCTCATTAGCCAAGAAATCCAAAGTTATGCGTGCTTGCACGAGAGCAGTCTTGGGATGGGTGACCCACTAGGATGTTTCTCAGGGCATGCATGAGTGAGGATAAAGTGCGCGTTAAAGGCTAGTGGAGGTTTGTGAGGACAGTACTAGAGGTCCAAAGGGTGTATAGGAGTAAGTACCTCGGACCCTACGGGGCGAGGTGTTACAGGTGGTATCAGAGCAACCCTGCGACAGTGTGCTGACCCGTTGGATATCGGGCAGGCACTTAGTGGGGGAGGATTATGGGATTTGATTGATATTTGAGATTGGTTTATGGGCGTTGCGTTCCTAAGTGGGGGTGATTGTAATACTTCGAGATTTAATTTAAACGGATTAATATTACTACTCATACCAACAAGGTGCATCTCCTTTTAATGGAGCTCATTAGCCCAGAAATCCAAAGTTAAGTGTGCTTGCACAGGAGTAGTCTTGGGATGGGTGACCCATTGAGAAGTTTCTCAGGGTGCGCATGAGTGAGGACAAAGTGCGCGTTAAAGGTTAGTGGAGGTTTGTGTGGACAGTACTAGGGTCCGACCCTACGGGGCGGGGTGTTACAGTTGTAGCTGCATCCAAATTCCAGTTTAGTTGAGTCTGCAATTAGATTTCCACCTTTGAATTCAAACCAGCTCTGATCACTATCGAAGCCAATTAGGTAGAGGTTATCACCCCTTAGTGATAACCTGACACTTTTGTTACCTCCCACCATGAAAAATAGGGTAAACAAAGTTTCTTTTACGCGTTCAAGATCTGTTTCCTCCTCCGGTATGATGCGACAACCGGAATACAGGCGGTAAGATCCTCCCGCAAAAACTGCCAGCTCATCCCTCACGCGATTGTTAAATTGTTTGTATCTACTACCAGTAAACTTCAACACATCGCTACAAACCCACAAAACCTAAGTACACTCACAGTTGGAAATTGCGTCGAAGCAAATATATGAAAAAACCATTCACCGTTTGGAAATATGTAGAAGAGAATTATTATGTACTTTAGAATAAAAAAAGATGTAATCTTTAGGGAGGATCTAGTATTACCAAAATAAATAAATACGCATGCAATAGACCCAACATTACCATCAACCATTATTTAAAAAATAATACACTAAAACATAAGAAAAACCTAAAAAGCAATCATTTTTGTCAATAGACCCACAAGCACTCCACCAAATAGTAAGAAAGGATTATTGCACTTATTATGCCGCCATTTTAGAACGGAACACAAGGTCAGGTGTGAAAGCGAGAATGCCCACCAGTATGAAAATAAGTGATGAGTTGCCCTAGAAGCAATGTTTGCAATTGCTTCTACTTTTAAAAACTCACCTTTTAAGGTGTTTTTGGAAAAAGTCTTAATGCTATAAGTTGGTACTCTTTGAGGAAAAAATGATTTTGGTAGAGGCGGGCAGAGCTTGTTGTGACTGGGACGTCTACATGATGTGAGTTTTCTCGCACTTAAAATATGTAGCAGTATAGGGTGTAAGCACGAGTATCGTTTCCACAGGGACGAACAAAAGGGAATTAAGTATTAATTAAATTCAGCGAAAAAACTAACTAAGAAAAATAAGTAAATAAATTGTGCGAGATTTGATTTGATGGAAAATTAAATTGCGAATAATGTAATTAAACTAATGGGTTCTTTCTAATTAATGACGATAGGGAACATGGATTGATTCCGGGGTAATCAGATTTCTGGCTGATCAGGCTTAATTACATGAAATTATTTTAATTGAGAATCGCTACTCATTACTAAGTTCTAACCGCTCTCGCGGCGCATAGTACAATAATTTAGGGAACCAGGCTGATCTCTCATGCGACAGATATCTAAAATTATTGACAAAATGAACGAGCGTACGGCCCCTTAATCGTTACTAATCTCTTAGCGAACGATTAAGTGTGTGTGTGAAGGTGTCCTAGAATAAATTAGATCTCTCTTAATTTATTCTACATGCAATTATAATCCTAGTGGCCATTCTAGGTTACAAGAGATATCAATTAAATCATTCAAACACAAATTAAATCAAGATTCATGCAATTAATCCATCATGAGTTTAGCCATACATCATGATTCACCCCTTCATCAATCCCAAATCCCTAATTAAAACTTACTCACAACTCATAATTGAAGAATCAATAGAGGTCAGAAGTAACTACCTCGGGTCCTGCAAGGACGGGGTGTTACAGGTGGTATCAGAGCAACCTTGCGACAGTGTGTTGACCCGTTGGATATCGGGCGGGCACTTAGCGGGGGAGGATTCTAGAATTTACTTGAGATTTGAGATTGACTTATGGGCGCAATGAGGACGTTGTGATCCTAAGTGGGGGTGATTGTAATACTTGAAATTTAATTGAAAATGATTAATAGTACTACTCATACCAATAGAGGTGCATCTCCTTTTAAGTGAGCTCATCACCCAAGAACTCCAATGTTAAGCATGTTTGCACGAGAGTAGTCTTGGGATGGGTGACCCCCTGGGAAGTTTCTTAGGACACGAATGAGTGAGGACAAAGTGCACGGAAAAGGCTAGTAGCGGTTTGTGAGGAGAGTACTAGAGATCCAGAGTAACTACCTCGGGTCTTGCGGATCGGGGTGTTACACGTGGTATCAGAGCAATCCTGCGACAGTGTGCCGATCCGTTAGATATCGAGCGGGCACTTAGCAGGGGAAGATTCTGTGATATGATTGAGATTGAATTAATTTATGGGCGCAACGAGGACGTTGCGATCCTAAGTGGAGGTGATTGTAATAATTGAGATTTAATTTAAATGTATTAATAATACTACTCATACCAAACATAGGTGCATCTCCTTTTAAGAGAGCTCATCACCCAAGAACTCAAAAGTTAAGCGTGTTTGCACGGGAGTATTCTTGGGATGGGTGACCCCATGAGAAGTTTCTTAGGGTGCGCACGAGTGAGGACAAAGTGTGCGGTAAAAGCTCGTGGTGGTTTGTGAGGACAATACTAAAGGTCGGAAGTAACTACCTCGGGTCCTGCAGGGCCGGGGTGTTACAACCTTACCAGCCTATTTCCATGGCTTTACACTTGACGGTGAGTGTGCTACTAATTACTAAAGTATTTCATGTTCTTTATTTAAGATTTTTATTTATTTCAAAATAATTATAATTCATGTTTCACATTTTAGACACGGGCTTTGCCACAGTGATGAATGATTCACATGACGTGGACATGTATGATCAGGTTCTGACGGGCATTGCTTGCTTCTGTTCGGATGTGTTGGAGCGAGTGGACTATGGCCATCTTATACATATGACCCCCTCTCAGGATTATATGGCATCGACATGTACTGCAGCAGCAGCTTCTACATCTCAGACTCAGCGTGACGGAGTTGTTCTTCAACCACGACAACGGCGTAAGCGTATGCATCAACAACCACATCTCCATGACCAAGACGATCAAGAAGATAATGAAAACTTGTAGTCATGTATTATTGGACGTACTCATGTACACCAAATGTTGTAGAAACAATTTACTTTTTTATGTATTTCCACCTGCAAACTAATGAATATTGTGTTATTTGTACTTTTTCATTTCTTTATGATGTGTTGATGTGCTTGGTTATGCATATTGGATGTATATACTGTGTTTTTATACTGTATTTTTGAGCAGGTGTGTTGTTATGTATCATTGTTACCAATTTGTGTTTTGTATGTGATCTGTTTCTGAACATGTGCGTTCTGTAAGTCGCCAAACGGTGAATTTCGAAAATTGGGATCTATTTAAGACGGAAAACGACATTTTTCGCCACCGGGGGCACCAGACCGGCCCTGGTAGGCCCTGACCGGTGCCGGTGTGAAATAGAACGCTTGGGTGTGTTTTTGCAAGGGGAAAGTCGCCAAACCATTTGGCGACTTACAAGTCGACAAACGAGATGGCGACTTATAAGCCGCCAAACGAGATGACAACTTATAAGTCGCCAAACGGTTTGGCGACTTTCCCCAACCCGGGTTAAGCCCAACAGTATATTCGTACACTAGTAGAAAAATGGCTTACAGTGACACTTTTTGATAAAATGACATTAACGACTTAAAAGTGTCACTCATTTCTAACAAAAATGCATGAGCATCATGTAGTGACACTTTCATTTTTAAGGAGTATATTTAAAGGCCCGCGTCACTATTGATAATACTTACGGGCTAGCCTGCTAGACTTTGCATTTTTGCCTCTTCCGTTTTTTCAGACTTGACACACATCCGTTCAAGGGATAGAGCGAGGCGCTCTGGCATCTCACTAAGATCTGTCGTCTTCTTCACACTCCCGACGCCTGTGTTGCAACGATGGTGCCAGCAGAGGGGAGCGAACTGGCGGCCGGCACATAAAGGTCCACCTACGCAGCACGCGGTAAGGTGTTGCCAATGTGTCGTTATATTGTGATATCGTAGTGTCACAATTCTATGACACTTGTAGTGACACTTAAAAAGTGTCACATGTAGTGTCACTAGCCCCCACTTTCAGCGACACTTTTTTAGTGTCACAGAAACTTTCAGTGACACTAATTTGGTGTCAGTGTAAGGCATTTTTCTAGTAGTGTTAAATACTTTTAACCCAACATTATTTTGATAAATACTTATTTAAATCGCATTAATTCCAAAAAAACTCCAGGAAGCACGTTTGTTATTAACTAGAAATGGAAGTTTGTGGCTCTTGGCCATTTGCAAGTGGTACATATGTGGGGATCAGGTAAAAGGGAGGAAACAGATAAAGCTCTCATTTTAAGAGCTGCAGAATCTCTTCTAAGAGCTGCAGAGAGAGCGGTATGAGCCTGCTGTGCTTGTAAAACATATAAGCCTCCTTCACGTTTGCCTTTGGCCAGTATTGTGTCTGTCTTTCGGCTCTGAATAAAAAATGCATCAGCAGAAAATGTCACATCAACAGGATAATCTCTGGTTAGAGTACTGATGGATAACAAGTTCCAGTAAGATGAGAACAACCAAGACATCAAGGAGTTTAAGATCTGAATTAAAGGAATAAGAGCCAATATGAGAGATGGGTAAAGAAGTATTATTACCAACAACAACTGCACTCTTATCACCATAGGCTGAGAAGTTGTCTAGCGTGCTGGAAGTAGGCGTCATGTGAGACGAAGCATCAGTATCAACATACCAATCTCAGGTATCATGTGGAGTAATAAAACATTGATTTGCAAAAGAATCAGCCAAATGTGCAGAAGCAGGAGCATTGTCATACCGATTGTGACACCTATCAGCAGTATGGCCTCCGGTTTTGCAGTTTTGGCAACGGGAAATACATGTGCGTCTGCCCCAACCACGGCCTGCTTTGCGGCCACGAAAACCACGACCACCACCACAAAAAGACTGATGAGGACCATGGCTAGGAGGAAGATCAAAGGAGACAACATAATAGAAGGCAACCATGTAGAATTGGGGGCAGAAGCATTTTCCAGGGAGTTTTGATACCATGAAGGAATTTAATTTCCACCTTAAAATTGTGATTTGTATATTGCTCATATATATAGGAGTACAAGTAAATAGATAAGTAGAGAAGGATAATTATATCCTATATAAAAGTTACAGATATAGAATTCTATCCTATACAAGATAAACTCTAGGAAGATTTATTAGTATTATTTGTTACAAATTAGATAATTATCACTTTGATGATCATTATCGTTAACACAGGCATCCCACTCTCTCTAAACTCTTAATCGTGCCTTTTCTCTAAAACCTTTATAGCTATTCGGTATTAGTTATCAAATACTTTTTTGTGTACACATCATAATTGTCACACAAACATACACATATATGTGAGTAGAGGAATGATCCTGTCCAGCAGCCCCCGGTCCGAATACCGTCCAAACATCGCCATTTGTGACACTTTCTGGTGCAATTTTTTGATGAGATTTTTTGAGAATGTTGCTCATCAAGTCTAGTTTATCAATATCAAATTTCAGCTCAAAATTTGATCGGAAAGACAGTCAAATAATTCGTTGAAGTTAACTGCGTTTTTCTATGTATAATTTCGCGCAGTTATTTTCAACGAATTATTTGACTGCCTTCCCGATCGAATTTTGAGCTGAAATTTGATATGGATAAACTAGACTTGATGAGGAACATGCACAAAAAAGTTCATCAAAAAATTCCACCGAAAAGTGTCTCAAATGGCGATTTTGGACGGTGTTCGGACCGGGGGCTGCTGGACAAGATCATTCCTCTATGTGAGTATATACACATATAGTATATGTGTATATTCATATACATACGCACACATTGATTCAAATAAAATTACTTCCTATACAAAATATAACAAAAAATCATCGGATTTAAGAATCAAAGGCTGAAAAATGGGGTGGTAATTCGATAAATAAACCAAAACAATGTCACCGCATAATATGCATCAGTGCGTACATGCATATGCTTACGTATAGGTAAAGTACGTACACCCGTTCATTTTCGTCTTTAAATAATAGTCTTTGTAATTATACGCACCAATCAATGAAGAATTAGGATGAAAGAGTTTGTCTGATTACCGATTGGTCTTGTTAAGATTATCATTTTTTTATTTAAATTTTGGTAGTTTCTCTTTTAATTGCAATGTATCATTTTTAATATTTGTCAATGGACAAGTTTGATCATTAATATATTTCATTTCCTTTTAGGAAAAATATTAAAAACTCAGACTTTGAAAATTTAAAATGAGAGAAATTTAAAAATATTTTGCAAAAAATAAGTTTACAATACATTGGTAAATAAAATTTAATCAAATTTAATCAAAGTAGATATGTGAATGATGTAAAATTTAACATATTGCACCTAAAAACAAATGAAAGTAATACACATTTAATTTTAACTTTTCCTTGTTTCTCAATTAATTTATCTATGGAGATTTGAGTATACATTATACTATGTGCCTACTAGTCAGATTTTTTTATGTGATGCCCTATAGGGCCGGCCCTGAGGAAATGAAAACCCTGTGCAAAAAAAATAATTGGATCTTCTTTTCAAAGTTTCAACACAAGTTAAAAAAACCGAATCGAAACCGCACCGACTCAAACGGGGCCCGAAAGTCGGGACTCGAACATAAATCGGTTTAATGAATTTTTTTTGAGTTATAAAATCGGTTCAAACTGAACCAAACTGTTTTTTATTAAGAGGTATTTTTAATTACTCCCTCCGGTCCTAAATAAACTTCACACTTTGACTTCACACAAATTAAGAAAATAAATTAGACTTTGCCGTAGAGTACACTGTTTGGCACTGTTTTGCACTGTTTTGATGTAGATAATTTGCCAAATAAGGAAAGGAGAAGAAGTGTGAAGTTTATTTTGGACCTACCCAAAAAAGAAAGTGTGAAGTTTATTTAGGACCGGAGGGAGTATTTATTTTGTAGAACAAATAGGTAATATAACACTTAGCTTGTACGTCCGTATTTCAATAATTAGTTGATTTGGTCCGATGGTTGATATTTAGAAATCAGCGTGCATGCTTTTATTTTCACATGGGTTCAAATCCTGCATGCCTCGCTTCTTTTCTTTTTGTTTCCAAAGCTTAAGATTCTCACACCGGTGGAAACAGAGGATTTACACTCCTTCGTTCCTATATACACGCTCCTCCTTTGCAGATGAGGAATACGCGAAGTGACGAACTAGGCCTGCTTCATAGCCTTGCCATAGTCCATTTTTTTGTAATTCATTTGGTTTTATATCAAAACCGAACCGAAACCACCTAAATAATACTACTCCCTCTGTCCCGCTAACATTGGGACAAGAGGAAGTGACACGCAAATTAGTAAAAAGTGGTTTATGTGGTTGATATTAAAGTAAGAATAAAGTAAGAATGATTTAGAGTCACACAAACTTTACCAAATTTGGTATGAGACAATCTTAATGGGCCCTTCCAATTTTTTGGGCCCTGTGCGGTTGGACACCCTGCACACCACCAGGGCCGGCCCTGATGCCCTACACAATGATGGTGCCCTAGGCATTTGCCTGGGTGCCTCCCATCTATGGATGGCATTAATATTTTAGGTGCATTTTGCATGAGAAATACTCTTTTTATTTGAATATGTAGATATGTGTGTGCTTGTGTGTGTGTTTGAGTGAATATGTAGAGTAACCTTCATGTTAATTAAGTTGGCCTCACGACAATCCCGTCAGGGCAATTTCATTTTTGGCTTGATGATATGTCAACAATAATCATTTCTACTTTTTAGCGTTAAATATTAATTTCAATAGTTAGACCTTAAATATGTCTCAAAGTAGACCCTAGGATGTGGTGCGGCTGCGAGAAAGGCCTCCATTTTTTATATTTTTAATGTGTTTATCTATTTTTTATTTATTTTAAAAGTGTTTTAATTTTTGAAAAATTTCAATTTTTATTATTTTATTATTTTAAAAAGGTAAAAGGGTCAACTAGGTTATCAAACTAACTTAAGTGCAAATCACCCCTTATATAAGAGACTCTGTCAGGCCGACGCCATTAAAGGCGGTTCCGGGTGGAAATTTTTGATGATTATTTTTGAGAATCTTTTTCATTAAGTCTAATTTACTCATACCAAATTTCGGATAAAAATTCAATCGGGAAGGTAGTTAAATGAATATTTGAAGATAACTGTGCAGTTAAACAGCGCAGTACATTTCAGAAAATCATTTGACCATCTTCCCGGTTGAGTTTTTATCTGAAGTTTGGTATGGGTAAACTAGATTTAATGAAGAAGATGCTAAAAAAATTTCATAAAAAAATTCCACCGGGATCCATTCGTTTTGTGTGGATACCATTCATTTACATTTTTCGTACTCAATCACAACCATACATTTACACTTTATTCCCACTTTCTTAAACTCGGATCCAAATCGGAATGTGAACTATTTTATGAGACGGATGTATTTTTATTTTCGTATTTTTTAATTTTTTTACATTTTATTATAAATATAGTTATGTTATTACTTTTATGTTTTAATTATTAATGAAATATGGATTGTATTAAAACAAAGCAAGTGTAGAATCGGAAAGCTAGTCATATTTAGAGAATTTTAAAAATTTAAAGTTATACTCCTTTTTTTGCAATTAAAGTTTCATTTAATTGTATTTGGGGAATTTCCCTACTTAAAATTGAGTTGTGACCAATTGGCTCACCAGTCACCAATATCTTAACTTGTTTGCACCCATAAAAGGAATTGCTCCTAAAATTTTGAATCAAATATAATAAAAATCCCAATTATTTATGGTTTAAAAGTAAAAAAAAACGATCTAGTCGTTGTTGGATCAAGAATTAAAAGATTTCCAAATTATAGCGAATCACAACTTGCAATCTTGTGTTTATATGGCGATACAGCTCGACAATAACGTGCCTATTAAGTCTTTACCATTTTTGCCTTTTCTGATTTTTAGTGGGAAAGCAAAAGTAATTGAATTAATACCACTATTAATTTAAGATTTGACCAAATCTATAAATCTATTTAACAAATAATATCCCCATATATATCCATATACACACACCCCCATATGCTTTGGGTTAGATTAGAGCCAATAAAACTCCTTAGGAAGCTGCCATGAAAAGTAAAACACACATAAAAGATCGGATTTTCGATAAAAGCGTAATAAATCTTGTACACTTGTAACACGATCACTTCTCTTTCAAGAACCTATAAATTCACGCCAGAATAATAATAATCTTTATAATCTTTATAAGTAATAATAACACAAGGCAGAGAAACCTCGTACTTGCTGCTGCTAATCCAACAACCTCCGTGTTCTTCGGATGACGAAAGACGCATTAAGGAAGTGCTCACATTGTGGGCACAATGGGCATAACACCAGGACATGCAAAGGCTGCACCAGCATTAAGCTTTTTGGGGTTAAAATCAATGTTTCTGATGAAAATCATTATGGTCATGATTCTATCAGGAGGAGCAAGAGTATGGGGAGCCTGCAACAGGCCCTCAAATCCTTGGATCACAACGCCATCGGTGGCCGCGATTCTGGTTATCTTTCCGATGGCGTTGACCATTCGAACCGATGTCGGAAAAAAGGTGAGTTATTTATGTATTTTGTTGAAAAGAGTTATAGAATAGATGACATTCTGTTATCAGATTTTCATATTAATAGATTTGGATATGTGTTCTGTTTTCAAACATTGGATACCTTTTTTCGGTTTTAGTTTGAAAAGGTTGTATCTTTTGCTACCTATGGACTATGGTTATTCTTGTTTGGTTTTCATAAACATGGGTTTTGTGCAAGGGAGGCTAAAGATTAAGTCTTTTGGGGAATATATGTATAGGAAGCTCATGGAGTGAGGAAGAGCACAGGCTATTCTTGATTGGGCTGGAAAAGCTTGGGAAGGGAGACTGGAGAGGCATTTCAAGGACATATGTGCCTTCAAGAACCCCAACCCAAGTGGCTAGCCATGCCCAGAAATATTTCATCAGAATGTCTTGTTTGGATAAGAAGAAAAAGAGGACAAGTGTGTTTGATATGGCCCTCCATGAATTGGTAATAAATACTAAATGCTCCATATATCCATAATGTTTCATCTCTAGTTTTCTTCATCTCATCTGTTTAGTTTAGGCTGTTTTTTGATTACTTTGTTTTTTCTTTTCTTGTTTGGGTGTGTACAGAACCAACAGAATGCACCTCCACAGGGGATTCCATCTCCATCTTCTCATGAACCTCTTCCTGATATCCAAAATCAGGTCAGTGTAATATTTGCTTGGTTCCATTTGGCAAAAGTTTAAAACAACTCCAAATAAATGTTACTGGAGTACCATTGTCAAACACTGAATGCTTCTTCTACTAAAATCTTGTCATTGATGTGGCCTCTCCAGGTGGCAACCTAATTTAATACATAGCAAATTTTTGGTGTTTTTGGAGACCTGAAGTTTTAAGTTTTTTCTTCTGTTGTAGTACAGTTAGGAACATCTAAAGTACTACTACCTAATTTTAAAAGTTTTTTTTTGCTTGTGGGGGGATAAAATTTAGATTCAAGCTAGTTAAGTTTGTGTTTCTGTCTGATAAATTAAGTCTGGGAAAAGGGGCAAATAAGTACTCGAACTAACCAAAAAAATGCAAATCACCCTTTTTATAGGAGGCTTTGTTCCGCCGTCTCCATTTGGGACGGTTGCTGGTGGAATTTTTTGATGAATTTTTTTGAGCATTTTCTTCATTAAGTCTAGTTTATCCATACCAAATTTCAGCTAAAAATGCAATCGGGAAGGCAGTCAAATACGGAGTAAATGTTTGAAGATAACTGCGCAATTAAACAGCGCAGTATATTGCAGAAAATCATTTGACTGCCTTCCCGCTTGAATTTTTAGCTGAAATGTGGTATGGCTAAACTAGACTTAATGAAGAAGATGCTCAAATGACGACGGCCGGACAGAGTCTCATATAAAAGGGGTGATTTGCACTTTTTCGGTTAGTTCAAGGGCTTATTTGCACCTTTTACGTCTAACGTAAAAGATGTGAATTACATTTCATTTTCCTTTCACATATTCCAAGATGAGGTCAAATAAGAAACAAACTTCATTGGCACCCTATCCTAGCATTTTAGTGGATCCAAACATAACCTTAAGGTAGATGAAATGGCTTTCTTTCTCTGATCATACAGGCTAGGAGTGTATCTCTGCCGTCGAACACAGACGAATCCAAAGGAAAGAAGGTAATGTGGTCAACTCCATTATCAATTCTTCATACTGTTTTCACCTCCTCAACCCTTCCTACCATGCCCATAAAATTAAAGAATCACATTACTAAAGAAATAATACAAAAAACATTATTTTCTTGAGTGAAGGTTTTAGCAGGGGTGGAGGGGCCTCGCCCCCCCCCCCCCCCCCAATATTTTTTCTAGTACATATATGAGTATATTTGTACAAATATGCATAAGCTGGGAAAAAATAAGTTAACATATTAAGTTTTGGCGTGCATAAGTCTCTGTCTTTTTGCTTTTATACTATTTAAAAAGTCTTTAAAAGTTTCTAGTTGTATGTTTGACATGCCAAGTTTTAAGAGCTTTTATAAAAATAAAAGATCTTTTTTGAGATGGTACAGTGGGTAGCATCTGAGATAAGTCAATAGCTTCTAGTATTAATTAGTCTTAACAGCTAGTATACCAAACAAAGCTAAATCAAACAGTCAATTTTTTTACCAAACAGGTATTGCCTTTTCTTTTTAAGATCTTTTCAGTCACTAAAAGCTAACTGTTACTAAAAAGCTCATAAAAGTATCTTTTCAGCTAGTTGTGCCAAACATACCCTAAGTTAACACATAAGTTAACTTTTATGTATGTTTTACTCACATTTAAGAAATTTTCTACACTTAATTTATTACTCTTAAAGTTGAAACTCTATTGTGTTTTCTGTGATCTGTCAGGCCATTGAAACAGCTAATGAAAGGCAGCAAATTTCACCGGTTGGCAAACCTTTCAGTGTTGTAAAGAACTCAATGCATGAAAGGCCTCCCATTCCACCACCTCTTGTAGTTCCAAGCTTTAATGTCATGCCATTCGTGGTATGGAATAAAATAAAGATTCATTCTTTAAGTACATTGTCTGGGGTTTATATTTACACTTTTTATATAGTAAAAGAAACACTTGCTGAATTTTTGTCTATTAGATAGAAAAAAGAGAAAACAGTCAAATAAGTCAACGTGTTAAAAATTGTTATCTTGGAAATGCGTGTCTAGCCTAGCTACTTGATTTTTAACTATTACCTCTGTCTCACTGGCATTGAGACATCACATGAAGAAGATGTGACACAGTTATTAAGAAAAGTGTATATATGTGGGTGATATTGAATTGATAAAATAAGAATGATTTAAAGTCGCGCGAAATTTACTAAATTTGTAAGAATCTTAGTGAGATTTTTCCCGAAATGAAAAAGTGGACAATCTTAACGGGACCAAAGGAGTATGAATTAATGTAATGGAGTGATTTTGGAGCGGATCTTCGTTATAATTATGATGGACTGAAACTCGAGACTATCTGACTTTTTCTTAAGAGTAAATTCCCTAAATAGGAGTAAAAAAGTTTTGAAATTCCAAAATAGGACTATCATGGTTTTTATTCCCTAAATAGGAGTAAATTTCTGCTAAGTTTGGCATTAATAGGCTTTTAAACATGACATCTTTTTCCAAACTTGACAGATTACTCCTATACAAGGAATAAAAAATATGATACTCCGTCTTATTTTGAAATTTCAACGCGTTTTTACTCCTATTTAGAGCAATTTCTATTTTCTTAATTCTATAGCGTAAATTTCTTCATTTTTCTTAATTCTACAGTATAATCTTTTTCTTCCTAATCCAACCTAGATTGATGAAGCTATATATACCGAGGCAGACAGGCAGTGACCTATCTTTGTGTTAGAGGGAACAAGAGAAAACATACTCACAACAATCATTATAATGTTGAATTGTATAGGCAGAAAAATTTTGTCACCAAACGGGGACTCAATGGGGCTTTCTTTTTTAAAATGGGATTACGTTTTCTTGAATTCAGAACCTGTCAGCATCGGCCGGAGTGATGCCGGCGGTGACCTGGGCGCCGGTGCCGGCTTACCCGAATCATCAAGAGTTTCACAAGTATGGCTATATTGCGAGCTTCCAAGGACGCTATGCTTCTTGTATGCAGTATATGACGACCGGCCCTCAATCTTCTGTTCTGATGTCTCCTCCCGTTCCTTCTCCGGTTGGTGGTCCTCCGCCGGCTACGGCGTCAAATAAAGAAGGCCTGCACCTTCCTCTCGGAGCACTTAGTCTGTGATCAATCAGCACCGGGAGCAAATGATGAGCAATTGGGATTTTTCCTTACCGTCCCAAACATTTTTGATCGATATATATGAGTTTATAATTCAGCACTTTTTCTTTGAAATTCTTTGTTACTTGTACCCTTCTTATGATTTGTTACTTGTACCTTTAGAAACAAAAAGTTCATTGATAAAATACAGATGTCAAAAGAATAAGATATTCTTCAATGTTGTACTTCCCATATCCTTTTTTACATTTTTATGATTATTATTCTTTATTAAAAACACAGATGTCAAAAGAATAAGATATCCTTTTTTACATATAGCATTAATTACATTTTTATGATTATTATTCTTTATTAAAAACACAGATGTCAAAAGAATAAGATATTCTTCAATGTTGTACTTCCCATATCCTTTTTTACATTTTTCAATCAATGATGTTTAACTTCGATCGAATATAAATATGTATAAAAAGTTTTTATAAAATAATGATGATATGAAAAATTTCTTTTTTTTTAAAATGATGTCATAAAAGTATAAGATTTATAAGATTCATAAAAATATACTCCCTATTAGTTAATTCGGAGGTAGTATATATAGTACACAATATATACTTTAACAAATACGGAGTATAAAAGTATCAAACAACACAAAAGGCTGCAAATTGGAATAGGATTGCACGTAGAGAAATAGTGAAGTTATCTGCTCTCTCTATTTCGAATTGAATTGCAAACTTTGATCGTCACGAGAATTAAGAAATGACAATAAATGATGTTTTCTTTTTACACTTTTGCTCATCTTTCTAAAAGTAGATACCTTTAAGTAAATGGGAAAAAGTAAAAGTAAAGGTAAATTTGTCACTTTATTCTTATTTACATACCTAAAATAGAGAGTGAAAAACCATTTTGGGACCACCAAAAAGGGAAATTTTGCAAATCAAATTGGGACGGAGAGAGTATTATCTTACTATCTCAGTCTCAAATTTATTTGTAAATTTGACTTTTCTTGGTCAAACAGTTTCATTTTATTTGCTTAATTAGGATGTCAATTTTTAATTATATTTTAATTTAGAGTTTGCAACTTTGAAGAGATTTTAATGTGTTTTCTGAATATGTAAATTTTAATTATTAAAAATTGAGTTAATTATCCATAGGGAAGGTTGACTTTTATTATTAGTTGACCAAAAAATGTTGACTTTGCAAAACAATTTGGACGGAGGGAATACTATATATGAATATAATAGGAAGAAGAATATGCTGATTTCAGAGTTCTGTCAAGAAATACATCAACAATAACAATAAACATCCAAGCCTTATTCCTAAAAAGTGTTGAGCCGACTAACATGAATTGATATATATATATATACATGATATTGGAGTCAAAAGGAAATAATAATAATAAATAAATAAGATAAGGTATGATAATAATAAAAAATAAAAAGACAAGATAAAGATAAAATAGAGATAAAAAAATAAAAAGAATATATATAAAATAAAAAGGATAAAAGGGTAAAAACATAAGAAATATAAATAAGATACCCCCTGTCCCATAAAATAGTTCTCACTTTCCTTTTTGGGTCGTCCCATAAAATTGTTCTAACATTCATTTACCTTTTTCTTACTCAACCGCAACCATACATTTCCACTTTATTCCCACTTTCTTAAGCTCCGATCCAAATTTAAATGAGTACTATTTTATGGGACGGAGGTAGTAATTGATAATAAATGATAAATACAGGTTATAAATGAGTACAATGGGTCTTACGGAGGTTAGGATCTCTGATACTATTGTGGTAGATTCATCAATTTGCATGTCACTTTCTATATATGGAGTCATATTTTTTTATGTGTATGTGTTTTCTTTATAATCATTCATTTCTACGGTGGATTTGTAATGGAGGATTTCACTATATAAATGATAATGAAGATGTCACATACTACCTCCATTCCAAATTATTTAGTCATCTTTCAAAGTTTGATCAACTATAATTTTTTTATTGAAAATTATTTATAATATATAAATGACATGAAAATGTTTTTTAGTTAAAGGTACTTTTATAAAAGTATAAAATTTATAACTTGTATAATATAATACTAATCAAAATCATGGTTCAAACTTTAACAAATGACTATGTATTTTGGGACGGATGTAGTATGATATACTCCGTATGACTCAATAGTGGAGTCATATATGATTCCTTAAAATTTCCATTTGATTTCATGGGTAAAGTTATGAGTGTGATTTTGTGTAACACTTGAATAGTCACAGTGTCACACTGCGTATTATATTTTAAATGATTTGACTTTTAAGTTACTACTATGTTTTTAAATATCAAATTATAATCTTTCATACTAGCATAACATTTATATTACATATAAATACATTAATATTCAACATATTTTTAAATGTGTTCTTTTAAGTTACACATGAAATAGTATTTCAATATGAAAAGTTATTAAAATTAATATTTCTTAAATACATTTGAGTACAAACAAAAAACTTGAAACATCTTATATATTGACTACACAAATAAGGGTTATGTTCACCATAATTAGATAATTACAAAACTTTAACAAAGTCGAACTCGATAAATAGTGTGTCATAAATAGGTCGGGCAATTTGCTGGAAAGGTAAATTTGATCATAATATTGGGTTTGATAAAGAGTTAGATTTGCCTATGATATTTTCAAATGCTTATAACGTAGGTGGCACTGGATTATCTAGTCTAGATATATAATAATGTACTACGTATTTTTTAATTATAGGTAGAAATTATTTGGTGATGAAGCAATTGAAGTGCTAGTTTATTTTTTCGAATGATGCATGCACAAAGGAGATATTCCATAAATTTATTCAGTATAATTATCAAATATCAAAACATGAATCTATATGACCATATAGTTTGAGAAGATAGGTGACACATGATCGTAGGACGCAGAAATGGTGACATTGTTAACATGAATGAAAAGGATTTAGAGAGCTTTGGAATTATTTATAATTTAAGAAATTGATCTAAATAGGAGTTAAAATGATAAATGATATGAAATTTGAAACATCAGTGTCATACTTTTATTCCATAAATGTGCTTGCAAAATACTCTCAATAACATCATTAATAATGTCATGTAGATAATAAGTAAATCCAAAACACAACAGCTGACGACAGTAATATACATTTACTTGAAAAAAGGTAGTATTTTTAGTTTGGAATTTCATATTTTTTTTATTCTTATTTTTGGATATTTCCCTTTAAGATTTTGATTTGGCAATAACAAGAAAGTGAGCACCATGAAAATTCAAATAATTTGAGATTATGGATGCTAATGCGCTGACCGGCCAAGCTCGTTTAAGAACCATACTGGTCGAATTTGTTGACGGAATTTTGTAAGCATGATCTTCATGAAGTGTAGAATTTTACATATAATGTTATCTTACAATTCAATCGGGAAGTTAGTTAAATGAATTATTGAAAAATACGACGCTTTGTGTGTGTGTGTGTGTGTGTGTGTGTATAAAGCGTCGTGTTTTTCAATAATTTATTTAATTTAACTGTGTTCCTGATTGAATTTTAACCTAAACTTTTGTGAGAATGTTTTTCTTTCATGAAGAACACGCTCACAACATTTCATCAAAAAATCTTACTCGTAAGGCCCTCAAACGAGCTTGGCCGGACGGAGGTTCATGTCGGTCCAACTGACCACATCATTTCTCAAAGACACAATTCAATGCAAGATAACATAAAATTAAATCATCTAGCAATATAATGATGGTTAGATACTTGAGTGATTTAGAAAACTTTGACACCGTCTACAATGTTACATGTGATACAGAGTATACAACAGCTACATGCATGGAAAAAAGAATCTCAAAATTTGATTCATATGTGGACTATGAATGTAATCTTACTTACATGTGCATGTCAAACAGTTTTGCCACTATTAAGAGGGTATCCCCAATAATGATTTTTAAGGATTTTAATGGAATTTAGAATTCCATCAATGTTTGGGTGTTCTCAATATGAATTTCGATGGATTTCTATAGAATCTATGGAAATATGGGTGTAAGTTTGTATGGTTAAAATTAGGGGTGGAATCATCAGTTTGCATTCGATTTTAATTGATTTTAGATTTGACTCTTTTTAAAAATGAGTTGGAGTAATGATTAACAAACAGATATCATACTATGTTTCTCTTCCGTTTGATTTGCTCTGGGTTTGTTATTTTAAAAAAATAAGATTTTACTCAATGTATTAGTTTGATTTAGTTTTATTCGGTTTTTCTCGATTTTTATTCGGTTTATATGGTTTAGAAGAAATAATCTCAAACTCAAAGTGAATTGCAAGTGATTCAATTTCGATTTCATCGATTAAATCAAACAGACCCCCCCCCCCCCCCCCCCCCAAAAAAAAAAACTTCCCTATTTATAATATTTTACCAAAATAGCATATTGTAATTGTGTGGAGTAGAAACTGCATCAAGGTACTAAGGACATGTGGACGTGTTAATGGGTTGCATGAGGAACACAAAATTGAGCATGAAAAGTAGAGATGCAATTTTGCATCAAACAACATCTAGTCAACTTTGATGAAAAGAAATAGTATGAGATTACACAAAGTTCTTCTTTCTCCACCACGTGGTAGTGGATAAAGCTTAAAATTTAATACGATAGTATATGTTTTTACCCTGTTAAACTCCCATCAACGTTTTGCGCAGTCATTTAGGGTAGTTTAAGCACTAATCAACATGCAATCGTTTGATGGGTGCGTATCACGTCAAGATTTATCTAAGAACACTTGTGTTCGTGCTCCATGCTAGTCAGGGGCAGAGTCAGGGCATTGAGTCGGACTGGACCGGTACAAAGACTATTTAAAAAAAAAATCACACAATTTTTTTAGATATTTTTTAAATTTGGGCTGAGGCAGGGCCAGGGCTGGCCCTCCCCTAGCTACGCCCCTGATGCTAGTAAGATAGTCGAAATATGCTAGTCAGCAATGAAATTTGTAGAGAAGCGACAAATAATGAGATCACTGACTTGAGAAAAAAATATTAATGATGACAATATCATCTACATAGACTAAACTAAGATAAAGAAGGGATTTGTGCCACACCAATGTCCAAACATAGAAGTATAAACTCACAAATTGATCACAAATCAATATATGATAAAGTTGTCTTATACATAGTTTTAATTAAAACATAACTTTTTGCTAATGACAAACATAATTAGGATGTTCCCAATCAATAACAGGAAAGGGGTTTAATAATGCATAGTTCATCATGATATAGTCATGACTCTAAGAAAACATTTTCGACATCAAGCTCTCACATAATCCTAGATTTTATAACATAAATAGTAGAAAGACGATGGATAATAGTGAGTTATTCACAAAAGTGGATGTCTCAAGACCCTTTTCAATAAATCATTCAAATATGAACATCCACCTCCCATTAACAATATTACTGAAAGAATAGTGCTCCCAAATACTGTCATCTCAAAACTTTAATCCAAAATCGTATGAAAATGTCTCGTTCTATTTATTAATTCAATATGGGTTTCTAACACATGCATCCTTGTGGTGTAAAACTAGATCATTTTAAATACATTATGTTAGTCACTTGATATTGGGATCCCCTCTAAACTAAAATTTAAATGCATCAGCAATACTTAAATTTTTAGCCTCTTTGATCTTATAAGACTACACGCATGTTCTGAATGATCTCTAGTGGTACGTAGACCATCTTCCTTCTTATTGGGTTGTGAACTTTTTTATATTGAATTGTGAGATTCTAGAAACATGGATTATGAACTACTTGATTGAATTTCTCATTTGGTATACTATTATTTTTTGGTTATTCTCTTCCACTCTTTAGTTGTTGATTAGCAGCACAAGTGGAATGTTTTATATATGCTGATTATCGACATTTGTAGGTAAATTTGAACGCACAGATTAGTGAAAATGTAATGGGATAGTGTGACTGCTAGCCGGAAGGTTAGTAATTTCCCCTTTAACAGCCAATTTTTTATCTCCAAGTGTATAAATAGTGTCACATTTCCATTTCATTATATCTTTTGCTATTTGTTTGTTAAATCTTTACATAATATTTTATAATGTTGTGTTACATGTGGACAGTTCGAGAAAGAGGGAGGGAAAAGGTAAGAGGCAACAAAACTAGGATATACCGAAAATGGAAAGACCAGACACAAGAAACAAAGAAAGCTTCTCTCAAAGGAAACATGGAAGTTCTGTTGGAGAATCATCAAGTTCAACTGGTACATTATTTTTTTTATACTTTTTCTTGAATGGAGCTACTCCATGGTCTTATAATCTTGGGGGTATTATTTGTAATGAGATCCACCAAATATTTGAGTGTTGGGTTTCTCTAATAGGCAGACAATCCTTCTGGATGGTTTTATTTGCTAAGAGTTGTGTCACTTGTGTGATGATTTTGTCTTAAAGTTCTATCAGCATTCAAAGTTGTGTTTTGTCTGTACTTAAAGAATCTGCCAATAATATGTATTCCTATTTTGAACTTCTCAATGCTAGTGTATTGGAACTCCAGATCACCATTTCTCTGATTGAACAATAGGTGCTTTCGGAAGAGTTCAAGGTGGCCATGCTAAGTTGGGAACAGTACATGGAACGATAACCAATGCACATGTTCGGTTAGAAATCAAAGACTGCAAACAAATTCGGAATAAGAGGGAGAGGAAGGCTAACTGAAAAGCTCATTTGAAGATTAAATCCTCCATCAAGAATAACAAGAGGAAGAAGTTCAAAAATTGTGAGTGTTTGTAGTGCTTTTAATACTCTATATGGTTATGGACATAAAAAATTGTGAGTGTTTTGTTTAGTGATATTCAATGCATTATCATATTTTTGGTTGAATGTTGCGAAATTTGAGAAATGAGCACATTGATATGAAAAAATTGTGGGTGTATGATTAATTGTGTATGCAGTTCTTGTGAGTAGGTTCTGTGCAGTCTAGACTGGTTCTACGGAATGTTCAAAACAAATAGTTGCGGAGCATTTTTGTTTTAAAAGTAAGTAGTTTTAACGACGGTTTTGTCCAAAACTGACGTTAAATGACGACTAATTTAAAAGAAAGAAAATACTTTTCACGAAGGTTAAGTGAAAACACTGACGTGAAAGACAGTTTATTTATTATTATTTATAAGTATTTAACGTCGGTTATTTAACAAAACCGACGTTGTATACTATTTTTTATGACGGTTGTAAAACCGACGTTATATGTTCCATCCTATAACATCTCCTTCTTAGACGACTCTTTCAAAACCGACGTGAAATATGTAAAATAACCGACGTAAGATGTCTATTGTGTAGTAGTGAAAAGACTACATGCAAGGATTGAAAACTTAAAAGATCACATGCAAATGAGATTTTCGAGATGGATGGTGCAGTTAGTGGACTAAAGGAAGATTGCAATAGGTCTTGACAAATGGTTACAAGTTGCTACGATAATATGATAACTCATCACACAGAGATATAGAGAACAATGGCTCAGATCAATGCCGGAAAAAGGTGGGTTATATGTGTATTTACTTTTTTGTTATTCTAAATTCTTACAAAAGTTAATTTGTATAATTCTCAATATTGCATATCACTTTGATCTCACATTCTTATGTTGATATGTTTGGATTTTTCTTAATATATTTACTCATTCATGTTGATTATGTCTCCATATTAAACTGCATTCCATTACATGTGAGGGTTTTCAATGCTAAACAAATGTGTAATGCAAAATAAATTTTCTTATATAATAAATTCTATTCTTAATTTGTGTTCACGCATTGGTAGGGAAGTACTTCATTCCGACCTCTGTTGATTATATTGCATTATAGAACTAAAAAATACAGATTATATTTCAAATTTCTTTCAAATTTCATTATAGAACCAAAAACCATTCCGACCTCCGTAGATTAGATTGGTGATACCGTGACACCACTAATTAGAGCTGAACAAGGTCTTCGAAACGAGTCAGATTGGGTCTCGCTGGTTTTCGAACCACGACCATAAACTAAGGTTTCGGTTCAGGATCAAAACCAAACAGGCGGGAAAAATGGTCCCGGTCCCAAGCATCACTTTTTGGGATTAGAACTAGCCGGTCTGATCCCAATTTAGTCCCATCTTTTGCAGGGGAACTGTTGCCTAAGCAACTTCAAAGAGGAGAGGATTCATTTAAAAGCTATCAGAGTGGGGAGGGGATGGACGATTAAAATATATATTTTAAAACTGTAAAAAACACGACTTGATTGGCGGGTGAATCGGATATGGCCCAAAACTGGAAATAGAGGCCCCGTACCTCACTAATTTTTTAAAATCGGCCGTCCCGGAGCTGGAACCGGGACTGTGTACACGCCTGACACTATTGCTTCATTTGTTTTTCAGCGGGTGGGTAGCAAACCGCTGCATTTTGCAGCGTTTTGATGTGTTAATTGATTAGTGGTTTGCTCCATCCGTTGTTATCCAAACGGCACCGTGTTTTCCTTTAGTTATCAACGAGCTAGCTTAAAGACCATTAGTGAAAAAAGTAAGAACTAATTGAAGTAGGGAAAGTTCCCGAAATAGGACTAAAACAGTTTCTAAATTCCAAAATAGGATTGTCATGTTTTTTATTACCAAAATAGGACTAATTATTGTCATGTTTAGAAAATACTGCCATATTTGAAGTTTGGTACTGCCAAAACATGACAGTAATCAGTCCTATTTTGGGAATAAAACATGACAGTTCTATTTTGGAATTTTCAAACTGTTTTAGTCCTATTTCGGGTAATATCTCATTGAACTATTTCTTCATTCCACAAAGCCTAAAACTTGATCATCAATCTAATCTCCCTATCACTACTTTCAAAATCAATAATATTACCCATTTTGTTATGATTCTCATTTTCTTTTGAGAAAGTAAATGCATATATTAATTGGTGTTAAGGATACTTTTAATTTGACTGAAATTTTCTGATGTAGTTTAATCTGATTTGTTCTACTTCGATCTAGTTTATTTTTATAGATGCCCAGTGTGTGTATTTTAATATTATCCAAGTATGATCTGACTAAGTTTGGGATGGAAATTAGTCCAATTAAAACATCCCAACCCACATAATCATAGAAAACCAGAAATGGTATTCACTTCCGCGCATCAAAACACCTTTACACTAATATAATGTCAATTCATTCAATCATTCATTAAGGGTGTCCGTCACTTCCATTTCATCGGTTTTGGTTTTGTCGGTTCGGATTTTAATCGGTTCAAGTTTTAATTGTTTCAATTTTTAGTCGGTCAGTTTTAGCAACTATTAGAACATGTGAAATCGAGAATCAAACCACAAAACATGAGCTCATTTCAGCCATTGTATATCGTTTCGATCATTTTTAGCACGTTTTGGCTGGGGTTTAGCCCAAAAGTATAAACGGTAAACTGAACAGCCGATAGATTAGTCAGTTTCAGTCGGTTACGGTTCTTTCAGTTCCGGTTTGTTCGGTTCGGTTTATGCCGATTCAATTTCGGTCGGTTTTTGTTCGATCATATGAAATGTGTTACAATGCAAAAGATTAGTTTGAACTACCATAATACCAAACGAAGTGCAAAAATGAAATTTCTTGCCTAAAGGTCTTTTAATCACTAAGAACATAGTTTATTTAATCTAACAAGTAACAAGTCTAATGATTTGTTTAAAAAAAGAATTTCAATGACTTTCTTCTAATGCAATGTTCATCCATAATGAAGTAAGCCCCACCCACATGATTCACACTCTCAAGTTTCAAGAGTGCTCAAAGAGTATAACTTTCGATGAGGGGCACACATAGAATGCCTAAGATGAGCAACAACCACTCTTTTGATTGAGGGGCTGTCCTCGAATCTGCACGGTTGGTGGCTTGGCATTGCTCCCAGAAGGTTGGCTTGCCATCCTGCAAAAGAAACAAAGTGTCATCTGATATGTGGAAAACCACATAACGAGTCAGACCCGTATGATAATTGCCTAAAATGGCTAACTGGGTGATGGTGTTTAAGAAGTAGCTTACTTTGCTTATCTTGTGCCTAAATGGCAAAATATTAGGATATAAGAATTATCTAAAAAGCACACGTAGTATAATGTATACATGTATATATGTAGTATATAATAAAGAAAATCATATGTAAAAGCTGAGGAGAATGAGACTTTCTTTAGCCCATATATCCATTTTAAAACACCAAATGACCAACATGGATCATAGTTACCAAGACTTTAGGAAAGTCCAATACTAAGAAATTATTGACTTAAATACCTAGTGCTTGCATTAATAAAATAATATAGATAGAATTCTTCAAAAAGAAAATCTAGCAATGTAACAAAGCGAGGTGCTACTATTTGCAAAGTGCAAACAAAAAATAATATATATATATATATATATATATATATATATATATATATATATATAGCCACAACTAGGGGAAATTTGGGCCCTGCTCTAGCTGCCAAGTTCCAGTATAATTTAATTTTTTTCTTTGTTCATGACACTTTCACGATAAAAATCTATATTATGTTTGTGTGAAATATTTTCTAGGAATTATGCCCACCATCAGAAAGTTCAACTATGAAGACCAACAGCTCTTTGTAATGTGGTATACAATTTTTTTGCGGAAGTTTTAACTAATCGGCTGAAAGGGTTGCTGAACAAAGTGGCTCCGTGTACATGCCGAAGGTGCACATGCCATTTAAACATCCCATTTTATATGTGCTCATACAATTTTCTTTTTAATATTTTAAGGTGAATTTTCTGTGACAGAAGCAAAAAAGAATTTGTTTGTAGCACAAACAAAAAATTGTTCGTGGCACAGACAAAAAATTGTCTATGGCACAAACAATTCACCTTAAAAACGAAAACAATTGCCTGTACACGGATGAAACGAGGCGTGTACACTTTTTGGCATGTACAAAAGAACTCTTTGATTGCTAAATAGGCTAGTGTCATAAAATCAAAAGCGATTTTGTATCGGGAAGGAGTATTATTGATAATGTTAAGGGGACTTTTGAGACATAAAATTTTCTAAAAAGATGGTGTTATGGTGAGGGTGTTATTGCTTTAAAACTTGATATTAGTAAAGTTTATGATCATATTGAGTGACTTTTTTCTTAGACAGATGATGTGGCAGATGGGTTTTGATTCAAAGTGGGTGAATTTAGTAGTTTATTTATTATTGTGGTAGAGCGATTAAGCACAATGATTAGGAGCTATGAGGCACATGGAAAACACTATAGGGGTGGGGTGGCAGAAGAAGCGCCTAAGATTTCTCACTTGTTTTTTGCAGATGGAAGCTTCCATTTTCTTCAGGACTACTATGGAGAAATACAATCATGTGAAGGGGTTATTAAGTCAGTACGAGAAGCTTTCGGGGCAGACTATAAACTATAGCAAATCCAATATTATGTGTAGCACTAATGTTAATGAGGTGATCAAACAATAGTGTAGTAGTCGTTAGGGGTTGGCGGAGAGGGTCGTATATCTTGATACCTAGGTTTGCCAGCTTTGGTGGGCCATGGAAAGAGAGAAATTTTGGATCAGTTATATCATTCATTATGGGACGAAGGTAGTATTAGTTAGTCATTGTTGATATTCGTTGCTTGCTTAATAAAAACTCAAGTGTAAGAGTTATTTTCTGTAAACAGTCTACGAATTGTGTTACTCATTTATTGGCTAGGGCAGCCGTTTCTTTGTCAAATTGTGTGGAATAAGTTAGCTCCCCTCCAGATTTTATTTTAAGTCAACTGGCAAACAATAGGTTTGATTGATATAGAGGATGATTTACCTTCAAAAAAGGAATTATGGCGCATCCTAAATCCAAACTTTGAGGAGTTTTGACTACGCATATGCACATACATAAACATATAACAACATCAATATACCTCTTCTTTATATCAGATGACATTGCCGTGAAAGCTTGTTCAACGTTAATAGCATTCTTTGCACTGGTCTCCAAGAAAGGAATGCCAATTTCATCAGCAAAATCCTTTAAGATTCAACCACAAATCATTTCTTGTCAAAATAACATCCATTGTAATGTATAACATGATCCACCAAAGAGGTAAAAGTAAATGAATAACCTTAGCAGCATCATAAGACACAGCTCGATTAGCATCCATGTCACACTTGTTTCCAACCAAAAGCTTATTCACGTTATCACTTGCATAACGATCAATTTCATGTAACCATTGCTTAACATTTGTGAAGCTTTCTTTATCAGTAATGTCATACACTATCTGCAATATATTACCATAAATATACTCATGAAGAGTTACTAAATAATGAAAAGATAGGATATTTAAATTTTAAAACCAAGTCTAAGTAGGAATACTATAATGCCATGTGCTCCTCGGTAGTAACTACTTGTGATTGTCCTGAAACGTTCTTGTCCAGCAGTGTCCCACTGCCAATTACATTGAAAGAAGAAATATATTGTCACATAAAAAAGTTTCAACACTCAGAAGTGTATGAACATCGAAAAATAACATGCAGTAGAAACATACTAGTATAGCATAACTAATTAAATAAACAATGACTGAATTTATCGTACAATCTGAAGTTTAATGGTCTTCCCATCTTGCTCCATAGTGCGAATTTTCTACAAACCATAAATTCAATCTATAATTGATCAATTATCCAAATTCACTACAAATTGAGCCATATTTGTTCTTACAAAGTCAACACCAATTGTGCTAATGTAGCTGTCCAAATATGAATCATCCTGTAAAAGTGAAGATGAAACACACATTGGCAATCAAAGGTATCCAAACGAGCATTTATATTAAAGTCATAAACTATATTACTGCATTACCTATAATTTTTAATGGGGATTGAGGTAATAGTTCCAAAACACGATTTTATTTTTGATAAAGTAAATTTCATTGATTACTACATCCTTCCTTTAAAGAAACAATAATATTATTTCAAATTCATGCATTACCATATCAATAAAGTACATAAATGAAGAGATATGTATATACTTACAGCAAATCGTAGAAGAAGGCATGACTTCCCAACACCCGAATCTCCTATGAGCAGAAGTTTGAACAAGTAGTCACTACAAATTATAATAATTTGTGGTGAGCATTGAGCTATAACTTAGCTATATAAATAGGATTAAACTTTCATTCCCGTCTAATTATTACATGTGCTTAACCAACAACATGTTGGACAAACAAAAAGAACCATTCTTTTATCGAGAAAATTCAGCATCAGGTAAAATTGCGCGTGTGTGTATGAGAACTTCTCAACTCTGCCTTTTTTTCAAACAATGGCTAACACTCATCAAGTGTATTCTCATAATTATCTGAAATTAATACATGCTCTATATAAAATATTAGTCATTGATTACAAATGAAAGAAATTCTAATGTATAAGGATGTTCTCGTGGTATGTGTGTAAGGGTGTGATTGTGTGAGCGCACACAACAAAAGCAGACACATTAAAAATCCTAAGTTCTACAAATCATTTAACATTTACACATTAAAATTGATTTCAAAACTGATACAAGATTCCAGGATTCCGGACACAATACTCGATGGAATGATCCAAATAACTCTATAAAAATGCCGGTAACTTGATGTATTTGACTTTTAATACAAAATTGATGTCAAATCAATAAACATGAAATTAAACTTCAGACAAATTGTTGCATGAACTCTATAATTTATCAAAAAGCAAAGAACAGATAGAGATATTACTATTCTGGGTTCATGGTGAAGTCGGCTAATCCAACACGAAAACACGCCTGAATGATAAGCTCCCGCTGTCGGGAGGCCGCCTCGTGCTTTGAATGTCGTTGAAGAGAAAAGTGAATGCATAAATTGAACGGAGGAACTGGTGGTGAGAGATTCCACCACAACTTTGGTACTATAATAAAATGCACCGGAAGCGGACAGGGTGATCGGCTCTTTGGGTGAAAATGATCGACTCCTAATTTGTTGGCAAATTTTTTGACTTTTTTTGGCATGTATCCGATGATGGATTATGCTTGGATGTGAGAATTTCACTACTTTAGAGCTTCATCACAATTGTCCTATTTTCTTTGTATCCCTAACATTGATTAAAATGGTATTACTTCTATCTCATGACTAAGTTCAATGTTTGATTCTCACATTTTTCAAAATTGATATTTGACCAATACTATATAAGAATAGCTATATAATGTACGAATTATGAATTGACATTTTAATTATATACCATAATAAAGTATTACAATTTTTTTTATATTAAAAAGAAATAATTTCAAATACATAACCAAAATAATAGTAGTGGACAAAAATGCAACTCTAGTAATTTAAGCGACTATAATTGTATTCAAATGTTACATTTTAATTGTATAACAAGAAGCTGATCTTTGAGTATTTTAAATGTTTGGGTTGTCCCAATTTGCACTTCATGTTTTCTTTTAACAAATTAAATATAGGACTTTTTCCTTCAATATTATCAAATTAAACTCATTTTCTAAAAACATGACCATTTTTTCAAAAGGACAAAAAAGTGACTAAAAAGGTCATATTTTATAACTCATGATGCCACTACCAAATTTTTGTGTCATTGTCAAATTTTTATGTCACCATATTATGTCATTACCATATTTTTATGTCACTTTTTGAATGTCACTATCGTTTTAATGTCACTATTAGATGTCACTACGGCTGTAAAACGTGTCATTGTCATCGCCAGATAATTTTCCAGCAACTTTTTCCGACAAGATAGTCACCTCCACGACTGACTAGTGACCATCCCACACCACCGGCCACCACCTAGCCTCCATCCGACCACTACTTCCGTCTCCCAGACCGCCCTGCCCATCCCCACACCCCAGCACCCCAAAAACAGTAACCACCATCAAACCCACTGGCCGATGCCGACGTCTAATGCCCACATCGATGCCCTATACACTGTCCCTCCCTTTCACAGTCGCGGCCACCACTCCGGCCGACCACCGCCACAACCCTAGCTGCCAAGTTCAGTATAACAATTAGACAAAGTGATAATTGCGACGAAGAGCAAATGAACGTTGTTGTGAGAAATGTATAGTAAACGACTACTAAATGGTGATGGCAAGACCGATTCCTTGGAGTTTAAACATGTTGTTTCCACCATCTCACTTTCTTTGAAAAGTGACATTGATTATTTGTTGTTGTGCATGCATTGTCTTTGTCTAGATTTGAGGTCAATAATATGATATGATATGATTTCTAATATGTGAGGCGAGATGAGCTTAATAGATTCAAAACTCTTACCCTGAATAAAAATTCATACACAAAATATGTTCATTGTTTTGTTCACCAAGAAAATTAGTTGGTGTAGTTGTTGCACAAAAAATAAGTTTGTGAGTGACTTCTTTAAATAATTATTCATGATCACTAACATCATGGGATTTTCTTGTAAAAGAAAAGGTTTGACAAAAACAATATGTAACCATAATCGAGATTTTTGAACCTATCTCTATATATTCACAAATAATCAAAAAATACAATAAGTTTCCTCCTAGAATACTAGAACTTAAGATCTATAAATACTTCATGTACACATCCTATCAAGGATCCGATTTCCAGAATAATAATATTGTCTTACGCTGCCTAAATTTCATCTGCTCTCGTAGATTAGCTCTCTTAGTTGGATTAAACTCCATCACTAATCAATCCTTTATTAGTAATGTTTCGCTTATAAAAACATTGTTAATAAAGGATTGGTTACTGATGGAGTTTGATAGATCCCCTAGATTTTGGTGATTAATGTATGTTATTTTGATGATGCCTCCCCTTTTCATATTATCCATGTATTAGACTAGATCTCTGTTATGTTCTACTTTGTTTATTGTAATGTGCTCCTAATTTAGTGATAAAGTACTCGAGAAAAACAAAAGACTAATAAAAAGAGAAGAAATGTACCATAAAAAAGAAAAGAATAAAAAAGAAAAGGTACGAAAAGAGTCAACTGAAACCCTTTATGAATTCAGCAGCGATCTGAAAGAGTAGAATCAGCAGCCTGCTGATTTTTAAGCAGCCGACTCCCAATCCTACTCTCCAAATGACTCAACCGAAAAACCACTACTCTTCTCTTAGCACAAAAACAACTAAAACAAAAGACCAACTTGCAGTCAAAATGACAAAAAGATCAAAGTAATTTTATAAGAAATTTTTTCCACCTTATAAAAATTTCTTATAAATTTATTTTACTAAAAGCAAGTATTTTCAATTATAAGGAAGCATTGAACTACACTCAGCTTATATACGAAGTTTCTACGAGCTAAAGAAATAAAGATATTAAATCTTTATCTTTGCCTTGAAATGAGGAAACAAGTTGAGTGAAGATATTGATCTGTGTCACAAGAAGACAAAGACCAACCATGCTGCCTCAGACAAGTGGAACAAAGCAAGTAGATCAAACAACGGTCAAGATTGAACTCATGAGCCAACGGGCGAGATTCGACAACAAGTCTATAAATACAGAAGGAGTGTGGGAAGACCAAAAGTGTGGAACCATGTGGTGAATCATGTAAGGAACCAAGTGGAATAGAAGGGAATCAAGTTTCACACGAACACATCTAGCCAGTTGATTCACCTTCACCACTTCGGTTACTACCCCACTCATCTAATGCTCTTAGAATAGCTTATAATTCATACACCTATAGAACTTAGATTAGTTGGTAGTTTAGTTTTAAACCCATGTAAAACTAGACTAGTGTTAGATTTCTGGAGGGCTTTGTGATCAAATCCAGAAGGTGAGAAGGGTAAGGACATGAGTAGCTCTTGGAAAGTTAATGTCATTAGTGAAAAATCTTGGGGGACTGAGTAACTTGGAATAGGTGTTCTAATTCCTTGTGAAAAACCTCACAATCTTGGAATAGATTAAGCACTAAATGTAATGGGATATTCATTTAGTGGAAATCCATCTGAAATAGGTTGGGACTGGATGTAGGAGGATTACACCACCTCTGAACCAGGATATATTTTATGTCACCTTTTATATTCAGCACCCAACACACACTTCAGTTCTCACTCACCTTCAAGAATTCCCAGCAAAACAGCTTGCTCATTCACTGTCCAGAAAACTGTCAAGTTTTATGTGAATCAAACTCCTTGTTTTTGTTCATCAAAGTGATCAATTTTAATAGGTCTAACTCCTATACATGTGTTTTGTCTATTTAGAAAAGACAAACAATGTCCAAGGTCATAATACGTTTTTGTACCTTAAACATTGATAAAGCAGCGAAATCAGCAGCTTGCTCCTAAAGGGTTAAGCAGCCAACTCCTGAAATCAGCAGCCAGCTACTGAGGAATTCAGCAGCCACCTCCTGCTATCAGCAACCTGCTCCTGAGGGGTTCAGCAGCCAGCTCATTGAGTCAGCTGATTCTGGAAAACACATTTGCACCTTGTTTAACTCATCTCTCACACAACTAAAAGGGTCATAACCTTTGTTACTATAAAGTGTCACACTCTTCAGATCAAAACTTGTGTTGTATGTTTTAGTATCTCCCAGAAAATATTGGAACTCATTCTGTTAGAGGAAAAAAGGTTGAAAAAGAAAAGATTTTAAAAGTCTATTCATCTCTATAGACTTTTACCTCACTTGGAACCCATCAGAGTTAATGAATGATAAAATACAAAAATTCATTTTATTAGTAACATTACTAATAAAGGATTGGTTAGTGATGGAGTTCAGTAACATCGCTTATAAAAGTTCATCGGTAAGTAACATCACTAAAAACGTTAAATTTCATCTGTATTTTATTTAACTCAAATTTTAAAAATCAATTACTTGTAAAAACAATAAGTTTAAGTATGCATTTTCTATTAGGTCCCTTATCACCTTTTAGTCATTTTACATACATAGTCTGAGAATTTTGGTAGAAACATGTTCACACAAAGTCTCTTCAAACATGTTTTTGTTTTGGGTTCGTGATATACTGTACTAACTAACTAGCTCTAATTTTTAATTGGAAACCCATCGGATAAACCCCCATACTATATGCAAAATGGAAATTAAGCTCTCATACTTGACAAAGCCCCAATTAGATACACCAACTTGTAAAAAAACTCAAAATGTCTTTTTAATAGGTTGCCTCTCGTTTGCCGGTAACTATTGCCTAATCACTACAAGATTGAGCCACATCACTGCCACCTCCTTCTTATACTTGCCAAGTCACCGTGGGAGAAAGGAGAATTAAAAAAACAAAAGAAATTATCACATCCATTCTTGCTTCCCGTTCAATGAAAAAAAAGATCTACAGGTGCTTGAGTTATGTTCAAATCAAGAAGTCAGCGGCAAGCAGTTCAAAGATCTGCCAGTACGACCTCCAAACTTGCTTTCCCTTCCACAGTTGCGCCTCTACCAGATCTACGATTGTGAAGATCGTAACAAGAGATGATTGCCTAATTACTAAAATACACTGTATTTACGTTAAAAGTGCTCTATTTACGTTGAAAACGCTAAATCATAGAGATAAGACTAAGTATTTGTGACATTCATATCTTGTTGTATGTTCTTCCGTTTAGAGCGTATTATATCTCATTTGAAAGATAATCTGATGCTCTAAAGTTATTGTTCCAACTTCATTTACAATGAATTAATTAAAAGTTATAGATTAACCATATATTTACAAATGTTTATGATTTCACTCCGAACTCGTGTAGAATTTGATGTGATCATATCTTGCTCTATTTTGTTCCGTTGAAAGCGTTTAATATCTCGTTGGAAAGATCTTATCCAGTTCTACGTCCAAATAGGTTGAATCCCCAACCCCAAGGGCTCCCCCCACCCCGACCCGACAGGATGGTGGGGGAGTAAATCACGGTGACTAAGTCGGCAAAGCGGCGGTAGGCCTTTACCCGTGCGCACCAGAGGGCCAGCCTTATTTCAGGTTCTGAAAACCCCCTTTTG